AAAAAACATTGTTCTACATCCTACTTTGGTGAGTAGCGACTGGGGTCTTAAAAGTTTGCAAGTGGCCATCTAGATGCAGTAATGGGTCTCTCCTCATCCAGAACAAAAAAGAATAAAGAAAACCAAAGACACATGGAAACAAGCAGTCCAAGGGACTAGTGGACCATGCAAACCTCAGCCTATATGACCATGAGACCAGAACTACATGGTGCTCAGCTACCACTGTCAACCACTTGGAAAGGGATCAGTGCGTGAGATCCTGGATAGAATGGAAGAACAATGTGGAACAAAACTCAAGTCATAAGAAAGATCAGGTTTACTGGTCTGATAGAGCCTGGTAAGACCCCCCTCCCCAAAGACTATGGCCCCTAGTTACCCTTCAGGTCTGGAACTGAACTCACTCCCATGGCTTCCAGCCAAACAACAGACAGGCCTATAGGGTAAACATTTACATTGTAGTTACACTCCTTAGAATGATCAATCATGGGAGAACAGAAGGGCAGTAATTGCAAAGGGAGATAGCTCAGGGGGAAGGAATGCATAGGAAAGAAGGACACAGGGAAGAGGTACTACAGGGAGTAAGTGGGAAGCAACTGTTAAATTGTGGGGAATTGCAGTCAATGTCATGAAACAAAATGTGTATGGAAAATGAATTTGCTCTGTAAACTTTCACCCAAATCACAATAAAAATTTAAAAAAAAAAACTTCCATTCAAGAAAATCTGGTAGGAAGACTCAAGTTTTCCATATAAAACCGTATTCTGAATCCAGTCTACATGTTGAAATTGTCTAAAGCATTTGTTAAAGCTATAGATGTCCATGACGGTTACAAAACATGATGAATGTAATATCACTGAAATCTATATGAAAAAAGATTGAATTGGTAAATGTCATGTCATATATATTTTTGCCACAATAAAAAAAATATTTTACAGAAAAAAAAGTTGATGCTCAGAACCCACTCTACATCAATGCCTCAGAATCTCTGGACAGACAAATTTCCAAAAGATTCCCCAAGGTGATTCTACTATGCCACCATAGTTGAAAACCAATGATCTAGACCAGGAGTCAGCAAACTTTTTCTGTAAAGGGCTATATAGTAAATATTTTAGGTTCCTCAGTCTCTGTCACAACTACTCACCTCTACTGTAGCAGTGAAAAGTAGCCATAGACAATAAGTAAGTGAACAAATGTGGCTGTGTTCCAATGTTGTTGTTGTTGTTGTTGTTAGGTGGCATTGAGTCATCTCTGACTCATAGTGCCCTCATATACAGCAGAACAAACACTGTCCAGTCCTTTGCCAGCCCCGTGATCTTTGCTATACCCAAGCCCATCTTTGCAGCCACTGTGTCAATCTATCTCACTGAGGGCCTTCCCCTTTTTCATTGTCCCTCCATTTTGCTAAGCATGATATCCTTCTCCAGGAAATGGTCCCTTCTTACAACATGGCCAAAGTAGGTGAGATGAAATCTGGACATTCTCACTTCCAAGGAGCATTCCAGCTGCACTTCTTCCAGGACAGATCTGTTAGTTCTTTTAGTATACCATGGTATTTTCAGCATTCTTTGCCAACACCATAACTCAAAAGCATTGACTCCTCTTCAGTCTTCCTTACCCATTGTCCAGCTCTCACATGCAAATGAGTTGACTGAAAATGCCATATCTTGTGCCAAGCGCACAAGTCTTCAAGAAAACATCCTTGCTCCTCAGCACTTGAAAGGGGTCCTTTGCAGCAGATTTGCCCAATGCTATACGATGTCTGCTGGTGGTTCAAACCCACCAGCCACTCCTCAGAAGGAAGATGGGGCAATCTACTTCCATAGTGATACTGCCTCGGAAACCCAAGGA